CATAACCCTAACCCAGGCACCAGGATGCACTGTAGAAAGAAGTCAAGCCGCTAGAAAGGTAATGTCAATGTTCTGCTGGGAAACCTTGGGTCCTGCCATCCATGTGGATTTTACTTGTACGTGTACCACCTAGCTAAGCATTGTCGAGGACCACGCCCACCACGTTTCATGGGTGTATTCATGGGGTTTTCCTGATGGCTGTGGCCTCTTTCAGCAGAATAATGCACCCTGCCAGACAAAATGGTTCAGGAACAGCTGTGATCCAGCTTCAGCTTCTGAAAACGGGCCTGTTTGGCATGTGGCTAAAGCAAAGTCAGGTGGCTGTTAAGAGGTTAAACAGCCAATCGTGTTTCTTGGACATTTGTTTTTTTTAACCAGTATCTTTTGGTGCACCTACACAGTTTTTTCATTATCACTGTTGAGAAAGCTCCTTTATCTTTATTGTGTTTGCTGATCACCTTGCACACCTGCGTAGCTGAATTCATTTCCCAAAAGCTAATCCTGGATGTGTTTGTGTGCACTTTGGAAGCCTTAAACATTACATTTATATCATTTAAAGTGGAAGCCTTTACAAACTCAGCAGGTGTGATTCATTATTTTTGCTGCTCTGGTGGTTTTTGTGAATGTCCCTGTAGCTAACAGGATTATCTGAGAAGAAGGGGAATGTAAGGTGAAGATAAGATGTAGGTTTACTGAAGCTGTGTGTGTGTGTGTGTCTGTGTGTTTGGGGGGGTGGCTGTGATAATTTTGGCTAGGTAAATAAGTTATAAGCGGCAGACCATCAAGGTGACTTTACTGCAGCAGTAAGTAGGTGTGAATGTAGGCGGAGGATTATTGTTTGTATTTTCCTTCAGTTTTAGGTTAGTAGAGCATAAGTTTATTTATTCAAACAAAACTCTATCATGTGTGGATGTGTATCCATCCTCTGCTCCCTCTTTTTTTTTTTTTTAGCCTTAAGTCCTCGCTCTTAGCCCTCTTCTCCTGCACCCTCATCATCTCGCTGGTGTTTGCCGTCATACCACTATGTCACCACGTCATACTGCTGTCCATCGCCATGGGGCTGGCTGGCAAAGCCATGGGCGTGATCGACACCATCGCAAACCTGCAGCTAGTGAAGCTGTACCAGAAGGACTCTGCCATCTTCCTGCAGGTCACTAAGATGTTGATGTGTTTGTGTGTTTGTGTCGGTGCAGTTAAAAAGCTGCTGCGGGTCAATTTGGGGGGGAAAAAAGAAAATCACTGTTTGACATAACCTTGTTGAAAAAAGTAAGGGGAGTAACTGAGAATAATGGTGCCTTAATGAGCATTTTTATTTAGTCTAACAGTCACATGGTTTTGTGTCTGGATTTTTATGGGTTTTATAGGTTACTCATTTGTTTACTGTTTGGATTTCTTTCATTGGGCTCATTAGGAGGCCAAACTAGGTTAAAAGGAGAGTGAATGTGTGACTTACATTCATCATGCCAACAGAAACCCGGCGCCTGCACAGTCAGGTGAAAATCCTGTTTGCTTGTCATTGCAAATGACCCCTTATCACGCTGCCCTTGACACACCGCACTAAGCCTGCACGATTATGGCAAGAATGATTATCGCAATTATTTTGTTCAGTCTTGAAATGACTTTTATTTGTAGTGATTGTTAAAAGGCTTTAGAGACAAAGTGTCTTTTTATTGCACTGTCATATAAATTGAATACTGCTTTCACATCTCAACGTCTGTATAAATCTTAGCACAAATATAACATCTCTTCATTATTGAGCTGAGCATCTAAGAACATGTAAGAAAAACAAAACACACCAAAATGTAGCACAAAATGAATTCAGAAGGACACTTTCACTTCATTTCACCTTTACATTGTGCTACATTATGCTAATAAATTAGTCTTTGCAGACAAATAATATAAAGTGTGTACTTCCGTCCTGTCTCTTTGTCCAGACTATTCCAAGAAACTTCAAGCTGTGTGGTTCAGGGAACAGCTGTGATAATTGGTCAGCGGCTGATTTGGTCAACAGAGCATGCTTTTTAAATATCGCTTGATCATGCTCATATGATTGTTGGAAACCAAAATTGTGATTGAGTTTAAAATTGTATTAACTGTACAGATCTGGCTGATAGCACAATGCCAGCTAAAATAAACGAATAAGTACATGCAGGGCTGGAGGAGGGTGCAATATTTTAAAAAGTAAAAACAAAAATCTTGAAAGTTCTGACTCCTAGACTGCCAGATCCTCTTAATTTGAATAACGGAGGCTGCTGTTCGTGTCTCTTGCCAGGCCTTGCATTTCTTCACAGGCCTTGGGGCGCTGGTCAGTCCCCTGGTGGCCGATCCCTTCCTGGCTGAGGACAGCTGTGTGCTGGGAGCCAACTTGACCACCAACTCATCCTCTCCCAGGAACCTACAGCATCTCCGCAGCACCCTCGCTGGCCACGGAGCAGCACTGCACACCACCTCTCACTTTCATCTGTATACTGACGGGGTTGTCGTCACCAGGGTGTCGTATGCTTTCTGGATCATGGCTCTTATCAATGTGAGTTCAATGTGATGATCCTTGATTTCTTAATTTTTGTATATTTTTCACACTTAAATGTTTCAGATTATCAAACCAATGTAAATATAAGGCAATGATAACCCGAGAAAATACAACATAGAGTTTTTAAGTCATGATTAAATACATTTTTTGGAAAGAAGGTCAATTTCTCTTACAGTAACCAGGCTTAATTACTTCCAGACCCACTGAATCAAAAAAATCCCCTTCTGGTCTGATGAGATAAAAGCTGAACTTTCTGGAAGCTTTGAGTCCCATCATATCTGGTGTAAAACTAACACAGCATTTCATAAAAAAGACCATCATACCAGCAGTCAAACATGGTGGTGGTCTACGCCTGCTTTGCTGCTTGATGCTGTAATTGGTGGAACCATGAATTCTGCTCTCTAACAGAGCATCCTGAAGGAAAATGTCCGGCCATCCCTCCATCTCCTAAAACTCAAGTGCTCTTGGGTAATGGTTCAAAATAATATAACACGCCTATGAATGACAGTGACCTAGTCAAAATCCAGACTTAGATTTGACTGATGTCTTGAAATGCCCTTAAACATTAACGGCTGTCCTTAAACAGCTGTTAATGCTTGAAAACTGTCCAGTGTGTCTGT